AGTACGACGACCCAAACTCGACTTCTTGGGTGGCATGACTTCGTTTCTTACTGAACCTGAACAAAGAAATAAAATTTTTATCTCCAATTCCTTATTTCAATATGTTTTGAATGTTTGACAGGAAATGGTTTGATTCAGCTGGCTGCCTGTAAAGGGCGCAGCAGTAGGGGCACGGGGAAACGCGAAAAAATTTATATATTCGTAAATGCAGATAAGCTATAAACATCAAAAGTAAAAATAACAGAGCTGGAACCTCAACGCATGTTGTGTAAAAATTTTGGCTTAAACGGTTCAGAACTTTTCAAGTCTATGATGGGAGTAGACACGAACAGAGCATTTTTATATATATAGATTGATTGACCTGTAAATAAAAAGTATATTAACTAAAAGCTCATAATTTTAAAATATAAATACAATTTTTACATGAACTAAATATTGATAAATGCTAGTACCCACGTTGTTTTTTATACATATACTGATCAGCATCAAGTACCGATGTGTTAAAAAAAAGGCTTTAGTAAAGTGTAAAGCAATTGATTTGTTCAGTTTTTTCAATTATGCTCAAACTCAACAATTTAAACATTTTTAATAGAAGTTGAAGGAAAAAATTCTTGTATCTGTCTCGCTAGCAAAATTTCTTCAGCTCAACCCTCCACGAGGGGGCCGGCTGGTCATGGGCACTGTATTTCCCCGGACCACGGGTAGTGCATTGCCACTCGCTACGTCCACCGTAATGCAGTGTCCAGCTAAGGCTTTGGTTCCATGCCTCCAGCCTAAGGCCGGATGAAATGAATCTTAAGCCGTTAATGGAGGTGCCTGGCTAAAGGTCACAACTGTAGTAAGAAGGGAACAGGTCATACTAGTTGTACCACTATTACCATCACCAAAACTACTCAGAGCATGTTATGCCCCACGGGTGCCATCGTCAATACAAACTCTGCCCTGAAGAGCGTAAGCTCACAAAAAAGGATGAAGAAAGCCTTCTCGGTTCGCTGAAACCAGGCACCAGCTCATCGCTCAGGGACGGACCGAAATGGTCAAACGAGGGGATGAAGGCTAGGGCCAGTATAAAGTGGCTCACAAGACCCAAAGCCGGCTCCAGGACCGGCGTCCCTTTCCCAAGAGAAAAAGGCTAAGCTAACCTGGGCCTAGCAAAGGAAGAAGGCAGGCTCCACTATGCCATGCTTCCTCACATGATCTTGGCAGGCGAATTTTCTAGCAAGGTGAAGGGTTGCTAACCTGCCAAATGCAAAGCTCCGTTGAGAATGTTAACAAAGATGATAGCCGATCAAGCAGCAACATTGGCCCAATCAGGCAGGCCTGCCATTCATGGTAAAGAAGCCAAGAAAGAAGGAGGTCAAGGTCGGGAAGGTGAACAAACGACAGCTGATCATGGCACTCATAGGCCGAAGCGATTCAAACGCAAAGAAGAACATAGCGTGGTGCAAGACGGTGCACCTGCGGATTGTCAAATCGCTGTTTGCACGGATGGAGGATGATACCAGGGCCACCATGACCACGGTTAATGAAAAAAATCTTGAAATTCATGGACGTCCTGACACGGAATTGTCTGACGCAAACGAAATTGTCTACTGCGAAAAAACTCTGACATACCTACCGCAGACTGGAAGATATTTAATAGCCCAATACCCAAAGAGGGTGGCCAATGTGCAGTCCCCCCGATCAATCAGGCGGAGGATATACTGCTGCGGAACTCCTTATTGCTATGGAGCAAGGGTCTGTCGACATAGATTTGGTCCAGGAGCCGTGAATTACCTTAGGCAATGCCATTGCCTGACTCAAGTCTACGAACTACAATGTGTTCAATCCGCCATCGGTAGCAGAAACAGAACCGCCATACTCGTTTGGAAGGGACTACACGCTAACCATATGCCTCGAATGACCTGACTGTGGTGATGCTGGAGACCAAAAAGCGCCTTTTGGCAGCTTCCTGCTGCATTGCATGGGACAGGACAGCCCCACCGGGGAGGGGGAGCCCCGACATAAACGACAGAGGTGAGTCACTCTTAGAATACATACTTTCCACTAATTTAAAATCTAAAAAGCGTTGGGGAGGAGCACACCTTCGTAGATCCCACCTCGTCAAACGCACTAGATCTAACGCTCGTAGCGGGAAAGGGAACTATGGTATCAGAATGAAGAGTCGCCGAGAAATCAAACTTCTTAGACCTTAAGTACTTACAGTTCCCTAAACAAGCTGCTTTTAGAAACCCCCAGAATACTACTAGGACTAATACGGGAAAGTTCAATAATACGAGGCGACTTGTCCCGGACTTGTCCCGGACTTGTCTCGACTTGTCGGGCAGGGAAAGATCCGGAAAAAGACATTGAAAAGTCCCTTGATACCCACGCATCATGCACGATATAGAGAACTAGGAAGTGGATAAAATAAATGTCTAGCTCCGTCGCAATAATCTCTCTGTCGCTTAGCTCCATTATGAAATCAACGCTCAGGGAGAAATGTGAGTGGGCGGATAAGGTAGGACTGAGAATCAACGCTGACAAGACGGACATCACTCTCTTCACCAAGAGATACTAGGTACCGCTATGGATCCCCCCACAAATCAATACAACCAGGCTGATCCCAAAAACACAAATACCTTGGCACTGTACAAGACGGAAAGCTGGCATGAAAGCTCAATGTTCTAGAGAGGGTGAAAAAGGCCACCATTGTTCCATACACATCCAGAAAGATTCTAAACAGACCATGGGGTCTCTCGAATTGAGTCTACATAGCGGTGGTGCGCCCGACACTTCTGTATGGAGTATAATACCTCAATATATACACCGACGGCTCCATGATGGAAGGAGAAATAGGTGCGGACATATACTGTACAGACACAGAGATGAAGTTGGCGTATAAGCTACCAAGCCAATGGAGATTATTCTAGGCGGAAGTCTTCGCCATCAGGAAGTCGGGAGAGCTCGCGCAAAGACTAGACCGTCTACGTGAGTCGGGAAACCTGTTCGTAGACAGTCAAGCGGCGATCCATGCATTCGTTAGCGGCAAGCAGGGAGGCACTAGATATCCTAATCACGATTACGTCAGTGCGGATCTCTAAGGTTCCCAGCGATTAGGGCATCGATGGCATTGAGACCGCTGAAATACTTGCAAAAAACGAAAACAGACAGAACGGAAAATGTCACTGTCTCCCTGAAAACGTTCCAAAGCGAGCTGGAGAGACGGGCAGACACACTAGCACTAGGAAAAGCATCTAAGATCATCTGCAAAGAGCACAATGGCAATCTTAGCCACTACGTTCTGCGTATTCCATGGAATGACTGCAAATGCTAGTGGGAATTCTCACGGGAAGTGTCCCGGCTGCGGAACATGCGGTCAAGGTAGGCATCATCGATAATGGCAACTGAAGATAGTGCGATGAGTCCCAGGAAACTGGAACCTTGGAAGATCTCATTTGAGGGTGTCCGGAACTAATGCAAGCATAAAGGAACCTAGGTACCCCGGAATTGGCCTCACTAAAAGATTCCTCTAAAAGAACTACCGCATGTTGCATTGCTTATATACCCTCGGGAAAACTTTTTTCTCTTCCGATTAATTTAACTTTCCCTCTTTGCCCTCTTTCGACAGCGATAAACTGTTTTTTGCTATATGGAACTATGCATAAATACCTTAAGCTACTTAAAGCTTTCGCTAATATGGGTGGACCATTCCCTTCGAAAAAAGCGAAAATATTACATTTAAGCATTTCAGAATAGTTGGACTTATTTGCAAAATCACAACCTTTCTATAAACTTACTAAGGCTGCCAGGGTATGTGGTTTCCTCCACTTGCTTTACCAGGGTCACGTAAGGGCAGTGATCCTTGAAGGATTTGGATCCCGGATTTCTATCCAGGTATTTGCAACCATTTGGATAACTACATCAAGAGTAGAATCTTCGATTACCCGCCTTATGGGTCTATAATTATGTGGACTTGTTGGCGACTTATGAGGAATATAGGCCTAACAACTATTCATCTGGGCTGATGAACTCAGATAGTTTTCCAGCGAAGCGTAGTGTTCCATCACAATAGTGTAGCTCATTTATTTGGGTCAGCAATTGGTTTTGGAGGAGTTCAAATTTTTGGAACTGCCATTTTGTTGCTTATTTTGGTTGTTAGCTCAGATATTTGAATTGGTTGTTGAATTTTCAAAATTCAAAAGTATTAGAGATTTTTTTCCCACCGCACTGGATTTTAAATTAATCACATAGTTTAGTTTTTAGAATTCTACTTGCACGTAGATTCTTTAGCGGATCACTTTAATTTAGAATCACTATATTATTTCGCTGATCAGGATTGCGAGTTGTGTGGCATATCTTTCAAGTGGACCAGTACCACATAAAAAGCATAAAAAGCTTTCTTATTGGTCCTACCGGCTGCGCCAATTAAGTGTTTGTATAATTTGTAAATAAAAAAATGTTTTTATTTAATTGAATTTATTACATAAGGACTTTTACATAGTTTAAAGAACACCGACCGATTATTTTTAAGTCTCAAATTAAAGTAAACTTATTGATCTTACGTTCAAGCCTTGGGTTGAGTGAGTGAGTGAGTTTCAAAAGTTCTGAAAGAATTAGAGGAAGCTTTAAAGTTGTTAACATTGCCATTGATTGTCTATGATTCTTCTCTTGGATTTTAGTGCGTTTGCTCTATGATTTTTACAATCTTGCTTGTAATTTAATATATTTATTTTCGAGTTGGCAAGTCCGAACTTAAAAACATGGTGAGGGCTTAGGCATTACAAGTTTAGTCTACTAATGGGGACGGTCCGGAATATAGGATTACATCCTATGTCGGGACATTGGGATTATTCAATTAGCCTTGGCTTCAGGGTACACTTTGCATAACTGTTGCCGTAGTATGTGTATGTGTTCTTATAAGTAAACATTTGCTAAACCTATAAAACTGTGAATATGTCACCGCATATAAAAATATCTACATAGTTAGGCTAAACTTGGTTAATGAAGTATATACTTACCACATCGATAAGCTGCGACAGTTTTAATTTTATGCAAACTTTAAGAACATCAGTAGTATTAACAACTGGGCGAACCAATTTATTATAGTTGCTTAAAAGGTCGTCATATAATCGTTTTGCATCTGGGTTCCCAGCCACTGCTCCATGTACCATTAGAGCTGATAAAATCCAAGCCCTTAAAGTTTCGCCAGAAGACGGCTTTCTTACAAATAATCGTATTATCTCAATTATTAACTTCATAACGATTCTATTTATAAGAAAACGTGATTTTTTTAGATTTTAGAATGATTCAGTATGTATCTGGAAAATAAAGAAGAATTTAATATTAAAACAATGCTGAAAACAGCTCGGCAATCCAAAGTATGTGAACATTTAATGTTAAGTCTGATTGTTCAACTATAATAAATAACCTACATAACTGATCGATTCTGAACAAATTCAACACCTCGTAAAACTCAGCCCAAGTCGATTTCGATTTCCCGGGGCTTGGAGATCCGTCGTCGTGGTTTCCATACAATAAATACAATTAAAAAAGATAACTTTTTAAGTTTTTAACAGATTTGTATTAAATTGAGGATATTGCTCTTTTAAATTATTCTTAAATTTCAATTTTAATTTTATGAAAATCTGATGACTATTTCATATAGCTCCCGTACAATCGATCCTTAGATATAGAGAAAAATGCAAAGCGGTGAATGTAAAACTGTAAATATTATAAATATAAGTGAATAAAATAAAGGCAGGCATTACTTTATTGCTTTTTAATGTACATATATTATCTATTTTTTAATAATTCGTTGTTGAAGATCTATCGCTAAGGTTGGAGGACAGGTCCGTTGATGTCTTCTAGCCGGCTGGCCGTAGAATATCCAATTATGAAGATTATGTTGGAAGGATAACTGTCCTTCTTTACATGCTGGCCTAGGGACTCCGACAGATTTATAATAATAAGAGTTTAACGACGGATTGTCGGAGTTAGGTTTGTGAGCGATGGCTCTTTATTAATCAAATGTTAAATCAAAACTGAACTTAAAAGCTAACAAAAGAGAAGAAGGGCAGTGCTTGCCGGCTATGCACGAGCTTCCGGCCTGACGCTGGCTCAGCAACTTGTCCGGAGCGAGCTTTCGGACGATCGGTCATTGCCGTCGCCCAATTAACTTAGTTAGCTACATCCCCTCAAGATTAAGGCCGCCCTCGACCGATCCTATTTGGGCAATCACCTCCCTTAGTTGAGCCGTGGATTTCCTGGCCAGGGTGACTCGCCGATAAGTGAGACCGACGCAAATCAACAAGGCAGAAAACTGCTCCCGCAATCAGCACTATTTGGTGCGAGCGGTAGTTGTTGACATCTTCCCCGAATCTATTAATATGCTCCAGGTTACGCTCACTCAAGCGGTGAAGGTACGGGTGGCTAAGTATTTCGTGTTCCAGTGTGATGTTCAGGGAAGGCGAGCTGGCTACTCCTGGTTTTTAAAACAATTCAAGGGCTTATCCGGAGTTTCAATAGTGTGGGTAAGCGACAGCTCACTGTGATTTGTGGTTGCGCTAGAGAAAGCTTCTTCCTCTCCCAGAACGTTAAGTGGCTGTCTTAAGAGGGCATCCGCAACGAGGTTTTGCCGGGTTTGTAAAAAATTTTTGCGCCGGACTCTTCGATGCGAGCTTTCCACCTATTGATTTTCGCATTCGGATTTGACTCCAATACTGCGAATGTCAATGATTGATATTCAGTAAAGATATTTTTGTCCTTTACTGCATATAAGTAATGACGCCCAAACTATTGCTATTAGCTCCCATTCGTTGCTAGTATAGTTAACTTCTCTGTCCTTCAAGGTCATAGTAATGGGTCGACCCTCTTGGGATAGCAACGCGCCAATGCCGTATGCTGAGGCGTCTGTCATTAGATCAAATGCCTTTTTATAGTCTGGGTACCTGAGGATGACATCCTCTGAAGCCAGAATGTTACGCAGCTTATGAAAGGCTAGCCGTTGCGGCTCGCTGAACTACACTTGGCTATTTTTGGACCTGTGTCTGCTAAAACTACCGTATTTCTCTTTCAGGATGTCCGAAATGGGCCTGGCTATTGACGCAAAATCTTGAATAAAGCATATATAATAGCTGGCCAGGCCCAGAAATGATCTAACTCGAACACGTTTTTAGGTTCAGGGAATTCCTGAATGGCCTTGATTGTTTGTGGGTCATTGGTGGTCCCGTTGCTGGTGACTATAACACCCAAAAAGCTAATGCTTTTTTTTTTTGAAGAAATTAGATTTCTGCGTTGATACTCATATAAGCATCGTAAAGGCTCTTGAGAACCCAATCTACGTGCTGGATGTGAGAATTTTCATCCTCATCAACATAAACGTAGCAGAATTTGCCTATCTACTCTCGCAGTTTGTCGTCGATAGTTCTTTGGAAAATGCTGGCGGCATTTTTTAGTCCAAATGGCATTTAGCGAAACTCGTACTTTCCTCCGTTAACGGAAAATGAAGTTTTTTCCCTGTCGCGTTCTGCGAGTGTGATTTAGTGGTAGCCAGACTTCAAATCGAGTGTTGTGAAAAATTTGGCTTTGCCTGAATTCCCTAGTATCATAGAGATGTTTGGCATGGGGTAGCGATTAGGTATTGTCCTCTCGTTCAATTTGCGAAAGTCCAATACGAGTCGCATTTTATGGTTGCCCATTTCGTCGGTGCCCTTTTCGTGTACTACCCATATTGGGTAATTTAGGGGGATTTCGATTTTTGGATTATGCCATTTTTTAGCAGCTCTTGAATTTCGCCATTGACGAATTCGTCCGCCCTCATTGGGTAGGGGTAGAGCTTGGCATAAATGGGCTCCTCATCAACCGTTCTGATGGTGTAAGGTAAAGCCTAATTGGGATCCTCGAAGGCTTATTCCTGTCTCGGAGAATTTTCAAAAATGCATTTCTGACTAAGGGTGGCGCATCTGAGCAGTCCACTTCAGTAAAATTGACATCGGGGCATGAGTGGAAATCAATTTTCTCTTCTCCATTGCCCCATCTGAGGTGGCCGGAGGCCAGACAAAGCGATGCCCTTGCTGTTTAAGTTGGACGAGGCATGGATGGAGGATGATCGCATCAAAGGAAGACAAGTCGGGTAAGATGAAGAACGTGGCCTTTAAATTGAAAAGTGGCACGAAGCATTTCCTCGTGATTGTGGTGATGCCGTGAATGAAATGCATTTTAAAGTTGGACTCGACCGGGACACTCTTCAATCCTTCATATGGACGGATGCAATTTTTGCGGCGTTATATAGAGCGGAGTGCACCTGTGCCTTATGTTGTTTAGTGTAGTGTGGGTTTTTGCCCGCACTTACTTGAGAGTGTGCTTGATAGGAAGTTTGTTGGCGTTCTTGCGCCTTTGGAATTTGCTTCCTATCCCTATCTTCCATACTCTTTGCAAACGATGCTGCGAATGTGTATCTTTCGTGGTTTGATTCCACCTCTTGAACCAATGCCAACGCAGTTGGCATGTCCTTCGACCTTGCCGAGAAAAGAACATCGGAGGGACTGCGCTTGAGGCCCGAAATAAATTTACGGTAGAGTCAAATTGCACCGGTAAAGGAAAGACAGCTCAAGCTATTTTGCCCATGGAGGCCGTTGGAATGGCCAGGGGTATGCGAGGACGGAGCCGCTGCCTTACCAACGATGTATGTGAGCTCCAATCTGCCGCCTTGTCAAACAGTGCAGGGTGAGGGGTACGCGGGAACTGAGTTTCCGCTACTATAAACAAAGAAGTGAAGAATAACAAATTGCCGCACAAATGCATATGCGGCCGTATCTGGTTCACAGCAGTGGAGTGGGGGCAATAAAAAACTGTACTGTGAGGCAAATACCAAGAATATTGAGTATAAGCAAAAAACACAACGAAATTAATTTACAATCTATGCATATCCAAAACGGCTGAATTAAACGCCGGTATTTAGCGAAAAAATTTAAATAAATTCACAGGCCGAGGCCGAGATATCCAATATTTGTATTTATTTGTGGCAAACAACACACAGAACAGATATATATATAACAGGACATAACAAATATAATTTCAGCACATACAATTCCACAATTTAAATCGTCAATAAATTAATGAGAATGTTAATTAATCTTTCTTTTACAAAAAGGTAACACAAAATTATGGAAACGGAGCTGCAGATATTATCCTGGCAGCGAATTATTTAGTTTATTTTTAAAGTTACACAAATGCCGATATAGAGAAATATAGGAACTGAGGTGCTATCTTACATGTTTCCCCTATTTTTTTCAGTGTTGTTTTTTTAAGTTGGGCGCCAATTAATTAAATATAATGCGTTGGATAAAATGTTTATTTGCCGTCGGCAACTTATATTTATCCACGGGTGGTCCCTCGTAGTTGAAGATCTGTCGCTGAGGGTGGACGACAGGTCCGTTGATGTCTTCTAGTCTTCTAGTCGGCTGGCCGAAGAATATCCAATTATGAAGATTATGTTGGAAGGATAACTGTCCTTCTCTACCTGCTGGCCTAGGGACTTAGACAGATTTATAATAATAAGAGTTTAACGACGGATTGTCGGAGTTAGGTTTATGAGCGATGGCTCTTTATTAATCAAATATAAAATCAAAACTGAACTTAAAAGCTAACAAAAGTGGGACTCATAGCGGCCACTCCAATTGGCAGTGCTTGCCGGCTATGCACGAGCTTCCGGCCAGACGCTGGCTCAGCAATTTGGCCGAAGCGAGCTTTCAGATGATCGGTCATTGCCGTCGCCCTGTTAACTTTGTTAACTTGTATATAATTGATGTGGTCGAAAACGACTCCTTCACCGCGTTGCAAACTTCTAACCAAGATTATAACACCCAGGGAGTTAATGCTCACGGTTTTCCCATAACGCCTTTAGCATTTGGCCTTTGGAAGCTTGAGGTCAGCAAAAGGCGTAATAAAATTGTATGAATTTGAAAACTGTAAAATTTTTTTGTAGGTACTAAAGTTACTGTTAATTAGGGCTAAATGTCAAAGTGTCAATTGACGATGGAATACGAACGCTCTTCCCAAAGAGATCCTAGAATGCACGTTGCTCACTTAAGAAGTAAACAGGTGATGCAATTGCAGACTTATAATGGAAAAAAGCACTCTTCTTTTATATACAATCATGTTCCATTGAAGGACGTTCACATACGATACCCACTTCAAAAAGGGACGGAAGCTACAATTGAAGAAGTCGTTACGGAAAAATTTAAGGTCGTTCAATCCCCACCCAAAAAGCGACGGGTCAAAAAATTGAAGAAGGA